CAACAGAAGATTTGTCTTCTTACCAGACATTCAACTTTTATACTAAAAGAATTTAGAAGTCCTACCAGGATTCATTATTGGTGGACACAATATTGGCAATATAAGATATGCAGATGACACTGTGTTGATAGCAGACACAGAGAGTAAACTACAGGAAATCTGACAGAAGATAGTAAAAGAAAGCAAGAAGAAAGGACTCAAGAAATATCAATTATAAAAAACAGAATGTGTGATTGTCAGGAGGACTGATATTACATAACAGTTCAGTCATTTTTTTTGTTGTTTCTCATAAAATTTTCCTGTTTCTTAATACTTTGCTTAGCTTTTGGAAGGTATCTGTCACTATCCCAATGCACTTTATAACTTCATTTACTGTATGTGTGTTATTCCAAACAAATTTTCACAATATTTAAAAAAGATTCAAGATCACTATTTCTTTAAAAATGTTGTCTAGATTTCATAAATGCAAATACAAATAAATGAAGAAATAAATCAGATTAATTCGCTGGGTTAAAAAGAAACAAAAACAAAAACACAACAATAAGACAGGATACTGAAAAGTTCATGCCCCAACCCACACTTCACAAAATTTGAAAAAAAGATTCAAATTTTTTTTTTCTCTCAGAAAACTTGATGATACTAAAATTACATTGGGAAAAAAAAAAAAAAAAAAGGCACAAAAATACAATTACCTAACTTCAACTATTTAGAAAAAAAAGACATATAAATAAAAAAAAAAAAAAAAAAAAAAAAATTTTTGACTGAATTTTTGGGATAAAGAATTATTATTTACACTTTTTACATTTAGGCTATTGTCATTATCTTTGTTGTTGTTATCACAATGCTTTGGCTGTTGAGTCCTCTGATGAAGACCAAAGAACACAACAGCCAAAACATTGTGATAACAACAAAGATAATAACAATAGCCTGAATGTAAAAATGTAAATAAAAATTTTAATGTCATTTCAAATATAAAGTGTCACAATATTTAAGAGATTGAAAAGGATTGCCTCTTTAAAAATATGATGTCTAGTTTTTAGAAATACAAATCCAAAAGACGAAATTAAGCAAATTAATTCTTTGGGTTATTAAAAAAAAATAATAATAAAATAAAATAAAGTAGTAAAGTTCATGAAAAGTTTGTGGCCCAACCCAGTTCACAAAATCTGACCAAACATTAGAATAATTTTTAAGAGCATTTTCGTCAGACTGAGAACTTTTCAGCACTCCCTGTATGAGCTTCAAGTAAAAATGGTAAAAGGAGGTCATATTTTATTGAGAAACGGTCAGCTAGTGCAGAGGTTCAGGATTGACATTAGATATAAAATCATAACTGTCTCTAAGAAACAAAGGAGGGAAATTAAAATCAAATTTTATATCTTATTGTGAAAAATATAACACATTGGCAAAAATGAAATGTCCAATTTGACAATCTTCACACTGGTTCATTGAAAGTCATTTTCTGATAGTCTTAGAAAGGAGATTTTTTTTTTCTAGCAGTTAAAAAAAATCACTTCCTTGATATTTAAACCCTAACTATAATAGCAAAATATGCTTTCCAAAAGGTAAACAAAGTATTAGGAAAATTTCATTAGAAACAAAGAAAAGAGTGCTGAACTGTTATGCAATATCAACCCTCCTATAGCAACAAAAGAGTGCTGAACTGTTATGCAATATCAACCCTCCTATAGCAACAAAAGAGTGCTGAACTGTTATGCAATATCAACCCTCCTATAGCAACAAAAGAGTGCTGAATTGTTATGCAATATCAACCCTCCTATAGCAACAAAAGAGTGCTGAACTGTTATGCAATATCAACCCTCCTATAGCAACAAAAGAGTGCTGAATTGTTATGCAATATCAACCCTCCTATAGCAACAAAAGGTGCTGAATTGTTATGCAATATCAAGCAAACAAAAGAGTCCTATAATTGTTATCAACCCTCCTATAAACAAAAGAGTGCTGAATTGTTATTGTTAACCTCCAATAAAGAACCTCCTATAGCAACAAAAGAGTGCTGAATTGTTATGCAATATCAACCTCCTATAGCAAACAAAAGAGTGCTGAACTGTTATGCAATATCAACCCTCCTATAGCAACAAAAGAGTGCCTATAGCAACAAAAGAGTATCAACCCTCCTATAGCAACAAAAGAGTACTGAACTGTTATGCATTATCCACCCTCCTATAGCAACAAATGGTGGACTATTTCTTCATAGATGAAGAAGAGACTTGAGTTAGCAATAGAGATGTTCTACAGAAGCATAATGGACTGAACATGTGAGAAATGAGGAAGTTTCAAGGAAACTGGAAATGAAAAGGACATTTATTATACTATCCATTACATCAGCCGCACATGTTGAAGAAAAAATGGTAAGAAAAAAGAGGATACCTGAACTACAAATCAGAAAGAGACAATTAAAATTTTTGAGATGCATAAAGAGGAAAGAGAACTTGGAGAATTTAACAATCACAGGATATTTTGAAAGAAAGAAGTGCAGAGGAAAACAGACTGGAATAGTAAAAGATGCCTTCCAAAAGTATTAAGAAACAGAAAAATTTCATTAGAAACAAAGAAAAAAGTATTGAATTGCTATCAAATATCAGTCTTCCTATATGACAAAGAATAGTGGACAATTTCCTGAGATAAACCGAAGACCAGAGGCAACAGAAATGTAGTTCTACAGGATGATGCTGAGAATATTATGGAAAGAACACGAGATCCACAAAGAAGTTTTAAGCAGTAACTAAAAACTAATCATACAGCTTTTTTGTATATTCCTTTCAATGCCTAATATGCCACACCATGTTCATTTACATGGACAACAGAAGTTAAAATTTTATTTATAAAAATGTGACAGTTTTATTAACTGATTCATTTTTTATGGCTTATCAATTCTTTTCAGGTTATATTTTTAGATAATAAAATTTTTTTAGAAAATAATCATTTAGTCATACATAGCTGGGGATAGAAGAGGTGTATTCAGATCTAATCAGAATTTGATAAACAAGAAATTAGAATGTAGATATAAAGTGAAGGATCAATTTAATATTACAATCAATATATAAACTGAACCCTCACTTTGTCACTACAGTAGTTTCTACACATTTATATTCCAGAAAATGTAAATAAATCTAATAGACATACCTGTGGAGCTAATCAGTATTTGATAGTTTTCTACGGGTTATCAACCTTTTTGCAGGCTATTTAAATATTTTTAGATTGCAAGAATTTTTTTTTCAGAGATTATTTAGTGCTATAAATTTTACTAATTAACCAGTAGCTGGGAGAGAGGAGGTGAATTCATACCTTTCCCAAGGGATTTTGGGTGTAAATGAATTTAAACCCAACAGGAATTGGGACTTGGCTCTCCAATTAACAATTCTGTGCCATTATCCATTCCACCACCCATACAGCCAAGTTTCCATCACCAGGTATTCCATAGTGGTCACCAATCTAGGTAGTGACCATTGCTCAACATTGCTTAACTATAGTGATCATATGGGAACTGGCATTTCAACATGATGTGGCTGTAAGCCCAAATGAATCACAACCTGAGAGTTGTGAAAAAAAAATGTGAAATTAAGATGGAAAAAAAAAAATACTTAAAAAAAAAATAAAATAAAAAATAATCAATTAATTTAAATTTAATTTAAAAAAAAAAAAAATTCAACATTCTTTTCATCATCAGTTTTTGTGTACCTGACCAGTTCTTTGTGCATGCTTCAGTGATTATGCATTCATGCATAGTGTGTCTTAGGTAAAGTAGACAGGCCAAAGCTCATCCTTCTCCAGGTCAGACCACAGCCAATGTCCTACTGATTTGAAGGTACACCTTGGTCACTGACATGGGGTACCATCCATCTTGGCTGTTGACTTCAGTCTAACAAGCCTTCCACCTATCAATGCCATGTCATCACAGACCTAGATACCCTGCCTGTAACTCAATCCCATGGGTAAATTTAGCCTGCAGCCAGTCAAAACTTTCTGCAGTTATTGTTTCTTGGTTGAACTAATCACTGGTGAGAATCTTGGAACAATTGCACAAGGAGTTGCCCAATTCAGTGTCAAAGGTGATGAACTAAGAGTTATTTGTTGTTTTTTTTTTGTTTTTTTTTCCCCTTTCATAATTTCCTCAAACCCTAGAAATGATATGAACATGAAAGTCATAAAAGTAAAGATTTTGAAATCACTGGAAATAATTTTAAAATAGTTTTTCATATTCAAGCCCAGCTGAAGTAATATAAGATAATGGTTAAACATATTCCACTACTGGGATGCACACCATCACATGATCAATGATGGCAGGGTCAGCTGAGCAAGCTGGCATGAGGCTAAGAGATCCAAAACTATGAATGAACTGTTGTAGCATACCTGCAGACGATAATAACATAAATACAGTAGTAAATACTGTATGTTGGTCTGCAGTTGGAGATTCGTCTGCAGCTGTGCTGGTCAAACTTTCTGCCTCTGGGCAGAGAGGATCCCCAGACAAAGCTATGTCGAAGGGTAGAGTCTCGTCTCAGGAAACTGCTACTCAACCCCGTTTTATACGAAGAATTTTTGGCCGAGACTACAGGCTCGGATACCCCCCATTAAATTCAGCCTTGTGCCACACCTGACCATGTGGGGCAGTTGGTAGATATCCTGCAGTTGGAGATTCATTGTGGAATTCACTTGACTCACTACTAGCAGTTGACTACCACTTCTACACACCACTGGCGAATCTTATATGTGTTGTTCTTGTCCTAAGTATTATCGTTTTATTACCAACCTTCCTTTGATTATTCTATTCAGTAACCTTCCCTAGGTTACAACATGAACCCAGTATTAATATCCTTGACACACACCGGCATATCTTTGTGATATATATTGAGAAAGACAGTATAATAATGAAGTAGTTTGATTTGCATCTTCAATAGTATTTGCAGTAAGGTGAGATTCTAACACTCATAGATTAGAAACTCACACACACACCAAAGTGAATGTCATCTACTTACCTGCCATCAGTTGTGAGAAGAGTGTTGGACAGGTAGAAGGAATGGGTAGTGTAAGCTTATTAACTGCTACTCCATAGGCTACCCCCAGAGCATCAATACCTTTGTATGGTGTTTCTCCAGTCAAAAGCTCCCATAACACTACACCATAACTGAAAGAGAAAATCAAAATAACAGTAAGAGTTGAAAATTTCATATATTCTTAATGTCCTGCAGTGAACAACAGATTTAGTATAGACTTTACAATTATGATAAAGAATAAAATCATGCCAAAAATTACATAGAAACAGGATGGAAATTCTATAAAATTGAGCCGCTTATAATAATTAGTTAATATTAGTTGTTTCTTTATGAAGACACATTCAGCATTCATTGGCTGAACAGACTGTGTTGCCATCAGTTGGCAATTATAAAATCTTTCTATTAAAGCAATTTTTTCAGGAAAAAAAAGATTAAGTCCAGTAACTGTTACCACTCTTTATTATGTTGATCAGAGGTTTCTGTCCTAATCTTTCATTTAAAGTCATGTGGAACATCAACATCTTGATTATATCCTTATTTTCTCTTCAAATTACATATGCTATTCATTTTAGTTGTTGCTGCTGTTGAAAGTCTTCAAATCCTGAGGTTTCTGTTATTTGATAAAGTTCTTTGTGATTCTGTAGTGCCAAGAGGGTTCTCTCTAAGACCTACAGAGTTCAATTGCTCAAAGTCATTTTTAATCATTGATCTGAGAAAGTGGCTGTTTGTACCTCTATTTTTGATAGGTACTATGCTAGTGTTCAAAATAAATAAAATGATATTCATTGAATGTTCATTTATTTGGTGCAATAATTGTCTCCATTAAAAAAATAAATTTACTTTGTCAAAATTACAGACCTCTGATAATAAAACAATGTAATCTTTTCCCAACTGTCAATTCTGGAGAGTTGAGGAGAAAGACATTTTATGATTTGGTCAAAAGAAAAAGTTATAAATAAATTGAAAAAATATAAAGAAAAGGCAAAAGGAAACTTTTCCTTACACCAATGCCTTTTGTTCCTTGATGAATTTCATCAAGGTAAATACAGAGATTTTATTTTGTAATTTGTATTTACACACAAAAGTGACATAGAAGAGAAATATTAAATTTGCAAGTTTTTAATTTGAGAACAGTAAAATATTCTTAAAGTCTGTTGCGTATGGAAAAGTATACTATGGAGGATATTATAATATAATTTATTGTCTAAATAAATAAAATAGACCATGAAATCTGAGTTTCGATCTCACCATGTTCCATTTGTCACAAAGGAGACTTCTTGATGTTAATAACCTGGGGGGAGGCTATACAACATGTGGCACTTTTAGAAAAAGTGCCTGAAAACCAAACTACTTGTTGACTGAGGCCTTGTGAGTGAAATTAGGCATCTGGAAGCTGTCGCTGGTTGTACTAGCACAAAGTCACAAGTCATCATGACCGAGGGTTTGAGCATATTGGCGTTGTTCAGACTGCTGGTCATACCAGATAATGCATTCTCTCCCAGAAATTATAAACTACGGTCCACTCACTATAGTTTCAGTATAAACGGTATGGTGGTTAAACAAACACAAATGTACCTGAGCAGGCATCTGTAATAGGGATCGGCTAGCCACCCTAACAGCGAGGGGTGTAAAAGTTGTTGAATTTTTAATTCATTTCTTAATTTTTTTTTTTTTTTTTTATCCATCTAATTATTTATTTCTATACATTTTATTTATTAATTTATTTTTAAATGTTTAAGCCATTGGTATTGTAAAGTTTTCCTTTTTCTCTTATTTACACTGTCCAGTCTCTAAAGAGTGCCAAACAGTGTCTGCATCCTTGTGGGTGATGAATTATTTTCGACCCTACAATTGCTTTTCCACAGATGAAATGATACAAGCCTCTTGCTGCTCTATCGATATTCTCACGGAACAAATTACATTCCTCGGTCCCACCAGTTCTAACCTTTATGGCCATGCCACACACATCACAGCAAACCATCCGCATTCCCTTCATATTCCATTGGGGAGATGTAAGCTTCACTCAGGCAGCTTATTCCTACAAACTGCTGCTTTGTGAAACTAACTCTCAAGAGTATGCTTCTTCGATCACTACAATCTTAACCTATAACCCTCTACCTAGAGTTGTTCTTGGGGCTTGCACATGGTAAACATCATTGCTATATATATATATATATAAAAGCAAACCAAACTTTTTGTGAATATATATATATATATATATATATATATATAGTGGCCTGACGATTGCATCTAGCATGAAAGACTTCGCCTCTAAGTGTTGACTTCTATGTTCACTTTTATATTTATTTTTATATATATAAATAAATGAAGAAAAATAGTCTTAAGATGTGCTATATTTATGGGATAAAGTGCTCAATATCAGAGATAAAGTGTATGTAAATATAAAAGTGAACACTGAAGTCAGTACTCAGAGGCGACAGGCTGTTTCATGCTAGACGCAATCGTTAGGTCTGACGATTACGTCTAGCATGAAACAGCATGTCGCCTCTAAGTGTTGACTTCAGTGTTCACTTTTATATATATATATATATTAGCGGAAAGAATATGGCAAAGTAGAAAAAAAAAATTTTACGATATATGTTTCATCCTTTAGGACTTCATCGAAGTAAATCAGTATTTACATTGATGCTATTACATATGCACACAAAGAAGAGGAGATGCTGAGAATTTTATATTTAGAATAATTTTTTAGTTATTTTTTTTTTTGTGTTTTGGATATATAATCTAGCCGATTTCATTCAATTTCTATTTGGTTCTATCACATTTCTCATTGAATATCCCACATTGCTTTTAACAATTATTATGAAGTGTTCTCATGGCAGTAATAAATCTGCCAAGAAAGGCAAAATGTAAGAATCTGGACGCTAATTTACTGTCGATGATCTAGTGATTCTAAACATTTTCTTCTAATTATTTTCTCTTTTAATTCGAGTAGCATTTTTTAAATAAAAATTGTAGTCAGTCTCTTTATGATGAGCAGCTAATGCATTTACTATATTGTTTTGTAAAAGATCCCTTTTGTGTTCATATAATCTTATTTAAATTGCTTGATGTTTCTCCAATGTATCCCTTGTAGCAGTTATTAGAGGTAACACAGTAAATTCCTCCTTTAAGTTTTTTTTTTTTTATTATGTATTAAGTCTTATGTTTTAGAAGTAGTTGTAACAAATTCTATATTAATTTTGGATAAATGTTTTTCATTTGTAGTCATGATAGATTTGGTGAGTAAAACAGTATATTTTGATTCATTGGGTTTATTAGAATGGTTCACTCATCTATTTTTAAATATTTTACGAGCCTTTTGTTTTGTATTGAATATGAAATAATTAGGGTATTGGAGAAGCTTAAAAGTATTTTCAATGTATTTTTCCTCTTCATGTAAATACTGAGCGCTACAAATTATGAGTGTTCTTAAATAAAATTTGATGACAAAAGTGATGGAAACATACATAAAAAAACAAATGAAATCAGCAGGCTGATATACCCATAATATATATTTAAAATAAAATATAAAAAAATTTTCAATTTAAAATTCTCCACATACCCTTTCCTTTGTGCGAGTATGTGCAGTGGTATCAATCTAAACATCAATTTGGTTTGAAGTCCTAAAGGACAAAACTCATCAGATGAAAACCTCTTCCACTTTATCATACTTTTTCCCCACAAAACTGTTATATATATATATATATATATATGATAATCTTAATGAGCCAGGCAAACCTACGTAGGTTTCGCCTAAACAGGTCATCATTTTTCCAAGCGAGTACCACCATTTATATATATATATATATATATATTACACGTAGATACTCAAGTATCATGCAACATTTGAAGACCTAATTTTGAAGCTAATTTGACTACAGTAAATGGATACATAATTTGGTCAATGCCATAGCCAGAGCCACCAGTACATATGCTAATTTTTGTGTATGATGAGGCCTCCTTTAAAATTCACTTCGGAATTAGGTCTTAAAAAGTCGCATTACACATGAGTATATATAGTTTGATAAAAGGACCAAACAGCTGCAAAGAGGACTGTAAGTAAATGCCAATGTAAGAGGCAATGAACAATCTCTGCTAACCCCAAATCCAAATGAAAGTGTGTGTGGGGGGGGACCCCCAAATCCAAATGAAAGTGTGTGGTGGGGGGGGCGGAGCAGCTTTCTTTTTGCTCTGCTGCCTCTTGAAACAAAGCCTTCAAGTTCTAAAACCTGACCAATTCTTTACAATGCCAGAGAAACTGGTTTTAAAAGCAAAATGACAGCAATAATCCAGTTTTCAGTTACAACTGACATTTAACAAGATGTTTTTGAACACAAAAGCACACACTTTCAATTATGTGTGTGTGTGTGTGTGTGTGTGTGCACGTACATACATATATGCATACACAAGAGTGTGGGAAATCCAAATATGGTTGAAATCATCATAAAGATTTTAAAGATATTTTTTAAATACAACAACCTCTGTCCCATATAATAGTTTCTTTTCCATATACATTTTATAAATTAACCTTTAACACTCTACATTATTCACTGCTTTCCTTTCCACTGCATTGTTTTTCAAGGCTCCTCTACTGCACTACTTAATTTCAATATCTGTCTATATTTCTGAGATGAGGTATTGTAATTATTTACACTGTTTACAATGTTTAGACTTATCTTCAACTTTGTTACCATATTCACAATGTTTCAGGCATTGTATGCTTCAGCTTTCTTCAGGCATACAACAGCTGAAATGTCATGAATATGGCAACACAATATAATGCTCTGTCCATGTTATATTCTTATAATTCTTCTTTTTCTATATGCCATGTCCCTACAGGACATTGGCGATCATGGCTCTCCACAATTTCCTGTCTTTGTAGCTCTTAATAAATTTTGTCTTTTTGCAATTTCTACTAATCCCTGTTCTTTCATCTATTTACACAAGCTCACCAGGCAGGTTATGCACTGCTTTATTCTGTCCCACTTTCCTGCAAATCTGTCCTGTTAATATCAAATTTTCCAAACCCTCTTTCCTCATTATGTGCCCTAGAAATTTCAGTTAGCTCTCTCTGATTTTAAGCATAAATGTCCTTTTAATTTCCATTTCCTCTAAAACTTTGTCATTC